AAACCCCACTTTAATCAATGCTGTCTTCTAGGGAGGGTTGAGATTTAGATCTATGATGAAACATTTAAGACGCAAGATCAAGTAAATCAAGATGAGACTGTTTCCGGTTGTCTACTGTAGTTGTCTAATGACATCTAAGATATGTTCACAGGGTCTAAGTCTCCATAGTGAACTATTAGATGTGCACAAGCATTTTCTGACCAGATAATCTAGAGAGGGATTCAGCTCACTGTAAAGTAGAAGCCACAGATTGCATTTCCCCTTCTTGCAATGCAGCATTTGCTATGGGGCTGTTGCAGGAGAAATAGTGGAAGAGGAGACTATTGCTTGCAGGAAGAGGAAGAGTGGAGAGGAGAGTGGAGAAATAGTGGGAGAGGATCATTGATAAAGGGATCTCAAACCAAAAAGGAAGAAAAAAGGAAAGCATATGACTTACCACAGAGACATGTGAGGAGGACAAGCTTCATGTTGGCAGCACGGAGCCTGCGTGCTCTGTGTCTCAACAGGAAGGGACGCCAGGAGAGGACACGGGACGTGCATCCAAGGGACAGGGTATTTGACAATTCCTCTGGGTCCTGACTCCTCCTCTCCACCCCAAAACGTCCCTCTGTGCCCCATGGCAGGTACTCGGTGGGTACAAAAAGGCAGAGCCCTGCCTGGAAGTGACTCTTTTGCTCTGGGCTCTGGCATCACGTAGATTGTGGGATTGTGAAACAGAGCTGTTCCTGGAACCCACTGGGCAAACAAGGCATCTCAGGACACCTGGTTCTGGACCATAGGTGGCACGGATAGGGGCAGACAGGGTATTGCAAGTCATCCCCCAGGATTGGCTTCTGGTAACCACACGAGTAGGAGATCAGTCCTGAGGATTAACTGGGAAAATGAATTTGATTCCACCCCCTTAGCACAGAGCAGGAAGCTGTAAGTTGCTTTTCCCACTGCTCTAAGAAGAGGTTTTGTCTAAAATGGAGGTTTTCCTACTTTTACTCACATGTACGTCCCAGAAAATGCAGATATTTGTCAAAAAACTCTAGACAACAGCCAATGAGACAGCACCTAACACAGAAGCAGAGGGTTGGGGTGGACACAAGACTCCCCAGGAGAGCGAATGAGGGCAGAGCTAGCAA